GAGTTTGTGTCCACCACATCGGATGTGCAATAGCTTTTCTGTTTTAGAGATTGATCCGTGTTGTCTTTGTTTTTTAGATGATCCATCATTCCTCCATATACGTCCTTGAGCGGGACAGAGGCGGCTTGTTGTCTGCAGACAGCAGCTGCACGAGAAGAGGGAGTTTCCTCGTTTACATCGCTGCAGCGTCGCAGTGACAGTGAGCAGATGTTTACTGTGATTTCTTAGTGGTGTGTTTATTTCTACACTTCCTCATCTCAACTGAAACATGACTGTCATCCTCAACATTTATCCTGTATCCAGACCCACTATTCCAAAATCATCCAACCATCATACAAGCTCTACATGTATTTACCTGTCATATTGCATTGTCCATTTCTGATGACTCCATCAGATCCTCATATATAATATACATATAAAACAAATGATCATAAAGTGTTAAGAATGTTTAGTCTGATTAAGTGTATTAACCACCCAGAGCTCTATATGTCACTGAACCAGACTGGAGCTCAGAGGTCAGTCTGTTAGTGCTCAGTTCTCAACTCCAGTGGAAAATAGAAAGTTCCAACTGTGGGATCTGGAAGAGGTTGAAAATTAAAAGCACTTTTCGTTTTATTGTCTATTATATCATGATGAATAATAATGTCAATAATGAAGGAATTATGCAAATGTCCCTATTTACACACAGAACAAATTTTGTATTAACCAACAGGACAGGAGTGTGTCTCTGATCTGTATAAGGCAGAGTCAATGCCAAAAGTATGTTTCATATGTTTAACGTCTAAGGTGAAGGATTGTTCTGTGATATGTTGGTTGTGATATTCTGACATGTAATCTGTTTTTTGCTGTGGTTCTGCTCCTGCACTTGCTTTTGTGTGTCGTGTTTTGTAAGCCCATGGGCCAGGGACATTTTGGTGCAGGACACCAAATTTACAATGTTTTTGACTGCACTGATTCTGAGTATGATTTCTGATCTTTAAATGTCACATTGCATGAACAAGTTGAAGTTTATAAATAAAAAAACCTTTGATTTAATCATCTGATTTGCATTATTCTAAAAACACGGAAGCTGAAAACTAAAACTGGAGCTGGGGGCTGGGGTGTATTTATTTAAAGAAGCAGAATCATGTTGCTGGATGAGCTGAAATGCAAATGATGCACTGCCAAAGCTGGAAGCAGAAATAAAATGTTTTTAAATTGTGATATCAGACAGATGAACTGCATCCTCAAACAGCTGAAACCCTCTGCAGTCCCTCTGGGAGGGAACAGCTCAGCTGAGGGAAGAACTGGAGGAGGAGGAGGAGGAGGATACTAACATTTTTACAAACCCTAGTTGGTGGGGGTTCGATGACCTGCTTAACATAACGAATCCCAATATAAGTAGACCTGCACAGAAACAAGTCCTCGGGTTTGTCTGGAAAAAATCCACCTTTTCCTCAGTTTGAGGGCAAAAGGAGAGAGAAGGAGTTCACATCCAAAATCCCGATACTCCTTCTCCTCAGTGGCTCAGCAACTTCCAGTATCAGCACCTGTCTGCCACAGGATCAGTGGTTACCGCTGCAACTTCACACACAGACCTCAGCCGAGCAGCGGAGCTATTTCTGTGTCTTTATGTCCCTGTGTCAGTGTGTGTTCTCACACACCCCAAAGACATGACGTCCAGATGAACCGCACAATCTAAGTAGCTGCTTATTAAAAGATCAGATAATATTGCAAAATAACAAAACAATTTAGTTGATATTCTGGATGTTTCACAGATGCACACCACTCCAACTTCATACCAAAGATGTATTAGAAATGCTCCACACTAATCACTGACCACTCTAAGTGATGAGAATTATCACTGTCCAGGACCCAGAGGAACTAAAGTTTCTATAACCGCCCAGTAAATATGAGCTTGATGGTGGCTCCTGAGGTCGGGTATCATCCAACCCATTTGGATACGTCCTCTGGGAACCATAAATGTTAGTCTGGATCAAAGTGGTGCACCCAAGAGGACTCACTTTGACGTTCTCTTCTTCTCTGTGTTGTACTGCAGAGATGACGCAGCAGGAACGTCTGCTTTACAGTGACAGTATCATCAACCAGCCAACGAACATGAAGAGAAACATATTGAGTGAGGTGATGAAGTTAGACAGAGCAGACTGGTGTGACCTCACACATTTACCAATCACAGAGTGTTTTTTTAGTTCTCGGCCTGGACATTTTACTCAGAGCAACAGTTCCTCATTTTGGGAAAAAACACTTCACTTTGTTGCTGAGTGACTGATGAGTCCATTAAATATGTAGCTGCCAGTGGTGGAATATACTCACACAGTGAGTTTACGTTTGTTATGCTGAGGATGTTCTGTGGAAAGTTTTATTACTTCAACCTTCTTTATTTCTTTCACAGATCCGTGATCACATTTACAAATTGACTCAAACAGGCAAAACAGCTTTTTCTCCTAAAACGAAAGCTCTCTTACTTGTCATTCAGTCATTTGTCAAATTGAAGAGACAACTGACAAATGACTGAGGTGTGACGAACACGTCCTGCTCTGCAGACTGTGCAGAGAACACCTCCCTCCACACTGGTGCATCCCTCCTGCTTTGTTTCGTTGCATAATGAGAGTTTCACTTCACCTGATCTGTCATCTTTCTTTTTTCTGCAGACAGCAGAGCAAGTGTACTAAAACACTGAGATTCAAAGGGTCAGCACAAGATCTATATCATTATTCTGTTGAGCTTTGCCGCAGTTTGTCTCATTTGCATTGACGCTGTGAAAACATTGTGTTTGCCCTTTCACTGCTTCCCTCAGGGTGTGTTATCAATATACACCTGATTTTATTTGATTTTATTTGATTTGACTGATATATATATATACACACATATAGACTACTGTATATGCTGTATACTTGTACATACACAGTATATACCGATACATGTTTTTACAGCTGTCCATATTAAAATTACACATATCACTAATATGATAAATAAGCACTTTTCTAGGTCAACAACCTTTCCATGAGTTCACAAGTTCACCGTCCAATCACTTCATCCTCACAGATTAGATGGTGTGTGTGTGTGTGTGTGTATGTGTGTGTGTGTGTGTACATATTTCGAAAGGCCAGTGTGGTGACAGAAGAATATTACACTGAGGAAGGATTACACTCCTGCCACAAAATACAATCCAGTCACTTGAGTCAATCACACACACTCGTTCTCTGTCTCACACACACATTTTTGCCAAACCTCACCATTTATGCAATGGCGATTTTTTTTACCACTGTCACTACGCCTCCTTTATTTTCTTTCTCTTCCTCATGTAGGAAATGCAAAAATCTCCTGAACCTTTAATTTGTATTAATCTGCCTGATTTGAATTGGTGTGTGTGTGTGTGTGTGTGTGTGTGTGTGTATGTCACTGGATTCAGACAGAACACAAAAACAGATTACTGGAATGTGATTTGCTGATTTGCTCTATAATCCAGGTATCAGACTGACATAATGAAAATCTTATAAGTAACCTGAGAGCTTGGAGTGTTTATTACAGGTTGACCAAAAATATTAACCGATATCAGCCTTGGAACAAAGGTCACAAAACAATGAGCTGAGATCATGGGACCACAACTAATCTGGCAATAAAAAGGTGAGAGATATATTCCTCTTTTAACACTAAGAAGAAACCTGTACTGTGCTTTACTCAGATTATGTTTCAGTATTTGACAAGTAAACATGAAGTGTTGCCTTAAACCAGGACGTGATCTACGAGAAAGTGACATGAAGATATGTGCTGCTGTTGAAAGTATACACTGCACCTTGTTGGAGAAATGTCACTATTAACTATTGGGATGAGCACAATCTAATAAACAAAAATAATGATTTGATAACACTGGTGATACAGGACCACATGATGGATTATTTTACATTTTAGAGGCAGGTTTTTATTTATTTAGTTGATGCCAGTTTTATTGTTGTCTGAGACATTTAAAGTGATCAGGCTGCAGACAGGATCATCTCCACCATAACCTCATACAACATCCAGTCAGTTTTTCATTAATATGAGCTGGAGGTGAAAACAGGCTGCAGGAAATTGTGTGTTTGTTTCTACCCCTTGTTTCACAGATGCTGAGGGATGCTGGGTAATCGAAATGAAGGTATGCAGGCACTGCACCAATCACAAATCTACCCAACACATCCATTACCCAAAGGAAAGCAGCTATAAAACTGTGGTGTGGCTGAGTAAAAGGAATGACGGAGAGATAGTGGTAGTACCACACCACACATGTACATTAGAAAAACTGCAGATGTCAGAGTATTGGACTGCATCTGCAGTGTCCCCATACAGAGTCCACATATATATCCATATAAAATCCTCACACTCAGATCTTCAAATAATTTAAGCATCAACAGAGGATTAGTAAGAAAACAACTTTCGGAATATTTATTTTAATATTTAGTTTTGATGGCTTGTTTTGTCCAAAAGGTTTATGTGGGTAAAAATAAATAAATAAAACAGTTATCTGAGGCACTGGTTTAGGTTGATCATGGAGCCAAGAAGTTTAAACTGCGTGTGAAACACCCGAAGATGATCACTGTGCAGATGGACAAAAGATACATTTAACCCACCAGTTGTAACAGTCTAATAGTTTGATGATTGATTTGGATCAATAAATGAATTCTTGTCCAGTAATGATGTCAAAGATCTGAATCCAGTTTTCATCCATCTCTAAGTTTGGTTTTCTGGCGAATATAATGAGCATCATCACTTCACTGAGCTACAACTGAGGCTGACGTTTAGTTTCTGTAATGGAATCTGGAACGGATATTTTCCACTATTAGAACAACAGTTTTCTCACATCTGAATATTATGAACAATAAGAATTCAGCCATAAACTAAAAGAAATATTTTCTTTTAGCATATTTTCAGGCTTATAGCTTTGACCAGCAGGCAGATTTCTTTGTTTTCCGACAAAGGATTTTAACTTTCTCTGGAACAAAAAACTTTGACTTCACACCACATCAGTGCAAATATTTATTTATTTTTTCTGTATGGAAATAATCTCTTCAGTAACAATATATCTATATTAGAAAACAGAAACCCAAACTAAAATCTACATGTAATCAAATGCAAAAACTACAAATATACAAATCATTTTTTTATTGAAGCTAATGTGTATGTTTGATTAAACCATGCAGTACTTATACCTGCATGGTCTAAATTTAGTGCACTCAGTGCGTCCTTTCATATGAAGACAAAATATTTTCCTCACTGGACACGAAAGAGAAATGAATTGGTGAATAGGAAGTTGGTTACAAACTGCACAATGTCTCAGAAAAAAAAGATCCAACACAAAAGGATAAAAAAATGTGTCGCTAAAGACAACAGGCACTTCAAGATAAATAGATACAAAAAAGAGTGAATTTTGTTCAGATGTTTATAGTTGATATTTAAGTGTCATCTGATGTTTAGTTCTTCTATGATTTATTTAATTTTATGACATCAAATAAAGTCTTTAACATGGATCCTTCACCTCTGAGTGGATATTTATAACAGAACATATGCACCGGACAGGACACTGAACAGTCCGAAAAAACACACGTTTATCCAAAACATTGTTTCACAGTAGAACTGCATGGGTGAAAAACGTTGTGTCTGAATGGTTCTCAAGGGAGCTGCGTGAGGAAACCGGCAGAAAAGAATCTGGAGGTGTGGCGTTTGAAAGAAGCGAGCTTACCACACCTCTGCAGCCCACTCTTCATCCCTGCTTGAGGCTCGGGGCTACATGAGCTGCTATTTACATAACACACATGATTCTTAAACCTAACTGTCCGTAGTTGAGTTGCATTGTGGGAAATGGAGTTGCCTCTTTATGACAAGGAAAAAGATTCTGATAAACTGACCATATCTTTGGTTCTGTGTGAATGTTGATCTGTCTACCAGGATTTGGACACTGTTATAAGAGGTTAATTACTTTTTTAATATCAGCACACAAGAAAGACTCCTGATCGAACTTGTGCAGTTAAAAATGATAAGACCGGTCCTGAAACAATCACGTCATCGCTCAATAACCTGCGCTAAGACTGATGCATGAGAAGATGCAGCTTCTGTCGGATGATTTCAGAGTTCATGGTCCACAGGAACTCCATCAGTCCTCCAGTGAGCAGCTCCTCCATGGGAACAAACTGCAGCACCTGTCTGTCCCAGCCAGGAGGCTGACTTTCACCCCCCTCTCCACTCAACAGCTGACTCATGCAGTTGTGAAGGTCTGTGAGAACGGGCAGTATTCGAGCGGCAGCGTCGGCGCAGAAGCCAACGCACACAAGCACCGTCCCGACAACACCGGAGGGGGGCGGACACCTGAATGTGACTGAGCGAAAACACACATGCAGGCAGAATACAACAGCTGCTGTGACACGTGTGAGGGCAGAAAACACAGGCAGCAGCAGGGCATCCCCAGAGTTCAGCGTCTGCAGGGAAAACACAACACAGCCGACGAGCTGCTGCTGGTACAGCGGCTCCCCGTCGTGCAGGGTAATGCAGCCTCTTTGAGGAAGTGAAGGCTCCGCAGAAAATATTAAGACCAAGTCCTCAATTTGGTTCTCACATGCACACCAGACTGTGCGGTTGCCAAACACCAGACACTGTCTCTTCTTTTTGTTCCCGCCACTGTCACCTGCAAGACTGGACAAGATGGAGGCTGCACAAACCACATGGCAAGAGTCACAGGGACGTACACGAGTCCAGTCGACTACCGTGTCCATCAGGGCTTCATTCAGGTGGTTTAACAGCGCTCCTTCACAGAACGGAGAGTTTCTGAGAGCAGGCAGCGCAGCCCCGACAATAACGAACCACGAATCCATGTGACACTTGGACAGGGGGCCTTCCAGCACGCAGCCTGTCCCACCGGCCTCGGTGCAGTGTCTTTGTATCCATGTGGCATGGTAACCCTTCTCGATGCGCTCCCTCCAGGTCAAGTTCTGCAGCTCCCTTCGCTCATTAAAGGACCCTGTTTGCTTCCTCTGCCCTGGAGGTCGACCCCCTGAGACGCTGCAGCACGCGGGACTCACAGTGTTACGAGAGATCCATCGGCTCCGTGGAAGGAAGCTCACCTTCACACAGAGAGAGATGATTGATCATGATCACACGTAAGGCTTTTAAAAGACTTATAAAGTCAGCAACTATAAAACTTGAATCTAATGTTGGATTCAATTGTATTCGAGCACAAACCAGAACATTAAATAGCTTCAAAGGGTAAATACATTTTTTTCATCTTTTGTACCCAACCAAGGAAAAATGAAAAATTTAGTATTTTGTGCATATTAATAAATGGGAGATTATGTGATCAGCTTCTTAGATGTTACTTTTCTGTCTTTCAGACAATAACAAACTTGTCACCTTTTGGTTTTCTGTCAAATTAAACAAGTGAATAAAGCAGCATTTTTCATTGCAAATTTCTGTGATTTTTTTTTTTTTATAATTATAATATATTATCTCAAATGGGTAAAATCTTATTTAATCTATGAGCACTCTCTTTATCATGTTTGTCTAGTTATTCATTTATCACCAAGTACAATTTTACATACACTTATATATGGTTATTATTCAATAATACCATATAAAAGGTAGTATATATATATATATATACTGTATGTATATGGTATATAATTCTTTCTGAAGCTTAAAAAAAGTTTAATCTGACAGATGTCCTACCTGGAATCGCTGCAGGTATTCATGAACCGCACAGTCCCTGACGTGGTCGAGCCGCTGCCTTTGCTCTGTGCTCATATTTTCAAACAGCTGCAGGTTTTCTGTGATCGTCTCCACCTGCAGCATGTGGAAGTAGGAGCACACCTCGTCGTGCTGTTTCAGAAACGATGCTGGAATTAGTTCATTTGGGAAGAGAGCCTCTCGGTCGGCCAGCTCTGGACCATAATTTCGAATGATTTTAGAGAGCAGAGGCCTCACAGCTTCCTTGCCGTCATAGTTCAGACACACTACGTAAACCTCGGAGTTGCCGGCCTTGCTGGTGGCAGGTTTGAAAACGTTGACAGAGCGGAAACAGCAGTTCAGCAGGTAGAGTAAGCAGATGGAGGAGTGTTCGTACAAAGTGAACATCTTCAGCACAAAGGAGCCACCGGGGCTCAGCAGCAACAGTGCAGCTGTGACCTCACAGTAGTGCAGCGACGCCACCAGCGCCTCCTGCTCGTCCGGGTTCTCCTGGCAGTCGAAACTACCATCTGCCGTCACCAAATCCACTCTGTGCATGTTAGACACAAACACCTGCAGCTCCAGCACGTGTTTCTGGAGCATGATGTTGCCTGTGTTGTCTGAACCAAAGAACCACCAGGGCAGCGTGTTGGCAATTAACCGGTCATCTGCGATGGTCGTGTTCCCCCCGTTGGCCTCGTGGTATGGGTTGAGAGTGTTGGCTGCCCAGCTCCAGTCGCAGTAGCGTGTGGCTTCGCTGGTTTTGATGTAGTGGTTCAGAGCGGCTATAAATGCCCCCGGAGCTTCACACAGGTGGACAGTGTTCAGCTCTCCGCTCTGAAGAGCCTCCTCTGGAAGAAGGTTAAAGGTTCCCAGGATCTCATAGAACTTGCACCAGGCCTGAGTGCAGATCTCTGCATTGGCAGCAGAACGCACTGCGGCGATCACCTTACCCGCCCGATTGGTGGAGTTGGTGTGCTGATGCCAGACCTGGATGTTCTTGTCGCTTAGCTGGTTCTTCACAGCGTTCAGAGCCACTTTCAGGGCCGGCAGCCGACATCGCTCCTCCGCCGTGTGTCTGAGAGCAGCGTTCGGATCTGGGATACGCCACTCGCCATTGGACGGCTTCGCGTAGATTCTGACTTTACTGAAAAGACCTTGAATCTCGAACAGTGTGTCGGGGTCAGACGCCACCATGTCACTGAAATGTTGCGGCTTGACTTTCCTCCTGGTCCCATTTCCTGAGCTCATCCTCCACACCTGTCATGACCAACACCAAGAGTTAGATGATGAAAATCACTCTATGTTTTAATGTTATCCACCAGACTGTTCAGTATTAATGTGACCTGTTCACAGTGCATTTCTGCACACAGCACATTCACAGTGAATTATACCAGGGCTCAGCTCTGCAGTCCATTTTGCGCTACATGCATGAGCGGTGTTGAATTACTAATGTCGACTCATTGTGATGTGCAGCCCTCAGGTAACAGAGCCGACTGTAAATACTGGTGATTAGCTCTCCAGGCTGGGGCTTCACCCGTTCAGAGCAACAAGAGGGTTTCTACATCACTGCTAATTACACAGACTTTAGAATCATAACATTTTGACACATTTTCCCATATTTTATCAAGAATTTCAGGTAATGAATACATTTGGATCTAAGTTATAATAAATATCTTGTTCCTGCAATGTGGAAACCATGCATCTGCACATTACCAGCAAGTCAACAGCTCAGTTAACAGTTTTGTCAAAATGCATTTTCCAATAACCTACTGAGTTATTGTTTAAAATCATCTTAAGTAGAGAAATTCCCTCAACTCCTCAGGGAACATAAACCGTTTTTAGAAATTGACTCTGGAAAACATGTGGAAAATTGGGACTGGACATTTTCCCGAGTTTGTCACGTGAAAACACAGCAGGAGATAGTTCAGGTCAGACTCAGGAAAATATTCATAATATTGAGGTGAGGGGGGGTGTCTGGATAGAGAGGCAGGACATGATGTATTAATCATGCTGCGGATGTCACATGTTTTTGTTTACAGCACATCAACATGCCCACTTGCTCGCTGTGAGCTTTATCATGGACTTACTTTCTGGATATTTTACTTGTAGGCTGGCAAGAAAAGTTACACAAAAGGTCTCAGACATTTGCATTCTCACCGACAGCCCCTCTGCAAAATATCAACAAAGTGTCCGGACTTCAGTGCATATGTGTAAGCAGCTTTCATTTTTCTGTTTAAATTCAAAATTCAAAATCACTGTGTTTTAAGAGACAAGAATTCACAAGATACTGACAATATGTCTGATCGCCACAGACAAAGGTACATGAGTCACAAACTCTGTTTAGGTTAGTCCATGATGGTAAACCGTTTAACTAAGCCATATCAAACTTCAAATCCTGCTACGCTTGAAATCATTTTGAACAATTCATGCAATTATTGAGCAATTTCTAATTCATGGCATAAAGATAATTTACAGTCAGAATCATATTAACCCCAAAGCTTATTCTCCGCTCATGTGCTCATGATTTAGTTGACTACACTGGGCAGGAGGACATATTTCTGGGTTATTTCTTGATTAGTCTTGAGTGGCTCAGTGATGAATGGCGATATACGGCATAAAGCTGATGACAGCACATTCATCAACTATTCATCATAAATCACTCTGATAAGCACTATTACTGCGTATGAAAGTCATCAGCTCTGTGCTGTTTGTAAATGGTTCAACGGTTGTTAATATTTAACAGGCAAGAAAGAATAACTGGCTGGATGTTACTGTTTTATCCATAAAGAGATTCAGAGAGGTGATTAAATATAGTTAGAGAGATCAGTCAAAACCATTTCGCAAATGAAAAATTACCTTAGAATTAGCTATATACTTGTCAGTCAAGGGTAAGTACAATTAATATTAGTGGCAAATAATTAGTTTGTTAATGACAGAATATTCATTAAAACTAAATATATTTGCATGACCAAACTTCTCAATCTAATATCATAAAGAAAACCCCTTTATTATTCTTTTAATTCACATGAAGATGAACTTGGTTTGTACATAGCGGTCTTTTTGTGGCATTTTGTCAACTAAAAAAGTCATACTTCTCAATTGTTCAGAAAAGAATCTCCGTATCAATTGATTGAGAAAAATATTGGGTTTTCTACCTTGATTAAAATCAAAACGCATGTTCATCTTCAATCCAAGGATTTTCAGTGTTTCCCTACATTTTTGTCAAAGTAAGAAGATCTCATGTTGGTGAAGTTCAAACAATTCACTACATGTTTTCATGTTGTCACAATCTGAAAGGACAGTAAGTGATATGTACATGATTAGAGTTTACCACAGATTCAGTAAATATAATAAAATATATCTTATAAATTCTGGCAACATTAAGAACAACACTATTGGCTCCTGGACTGGATGTACAGTGACAGGTCCAGTCAGTGTGTCTCTCTGTCCTGTCCAGTCAGTGAGACTGAAACACAACTGTTGATGCGACCAAAACAACAACTAAACTACTACATGTTGACGTGAGCAGCCTTTAGTGCTGCGTCAATGTGGCTGCGTGTTCTGGGCTGTGAATAGCACTAAAATAACCTCTACGATAAATGCTGAGAGTGGAAAACATGGACTGAATGTGACACTCGGGTCTGTCTGCTCCAGGTTCGATCGCCTCAGACCCGCAGTGTGAGGGTTCACTTGTCCTCTGATGGGTTCACATGAACGTCTCTGTCCCTGTGTCTGCGAGTCTGTCTGTCCATCACTAAACCACTAAACCCCCGAAGACAGAGGAGACACACTCACCGGACTAATGGCTGCAAACAGGAAGCTGTGGCATCACGTGACGCAGAACGACACCGCGCGTGCGTGTAGAGAGTGGGCGGGGCTTCTTTTAAAGGTACATGTCGTACAAGTTCAAAATTAATGTGGTTAGTGTGAAGAGAGAGAGAGAGAGAGAGAGAGAGAGCTTCAAATGGATGTCATACAAGTTAAAATGAAATAAATAACGTCAAAATGATTGTGATCATGAGAGAGGGTTAAAGCTCCAAATTCATAATTATGTTCTAAACAAAGTAAAACAGGTTGCTTTGAATATTCATTTTGCATTCACATTTTCATTTCTAATATTTACATTTATCTGATACTACAGCAACATTTGTCAGAGGTAAAATAGAGGTTAATGTGTAAATATGGTAAATGTTAATATGTTATGGAGGATATAATATTTGCTACGTGCACAGTTTTGTCTCCCTAACCCTACAAAATGTCAATATGATGGGTCAACTTTGAGTAAATCACCTGTATTAAAAGGTGCTGTTTCAAAGAGGATCAAACCATTACATTCCAAATATACTGAAAGAGTCAATGGTTTCAAAAGGTGTTTACTTGACTTTTCACATGACTCTAAAAATCTTCCATGTATCAAGGAGCCTGAAGCTTCTTTATACAAAACAATTAACAGAATGATGAACCCCAATTTATTGGCTTTGTGTCCGGAAAATATTTATTGCCTCAAAAGTTCATTCAACTATTAAACTTAGGTGGTCTCCGCATTTGAGAGGTATGTTAACCAAAATGAGAGATGACAAAATAAATCCGGCTCCACTTTTTCAGTTTAAGTGCATTCAGCGTTTCTTAGGCTGTTGAATGAAATACATGATCCTCTTCTGTTCTAATGGATTTGTTTGTGTGTGCATCTTTCATTATCATGTTATATAATTATCAGAGCTGGTGTGTGTGCTAATGAAAACAGACTTTTGACTTTTACTGTTTGAATCAGATTTATCCTGCTGTTTTTTACTGCTGAATTCTCTGATTGACTTCACATATGCTGCTGAAGTAAAGGTAAATCAGGCTTTAACAGGAAATATGTCACTCAGTGAAAACAGGACACTTACAGAAGGAGTATCATACATAATTAATGGCCCTTTGAGATTTCTAGGTGCAATTAGGATTTCCATAAATGGTTGGTGTAAAAAAAAATAGTGTCGAATTTACTGCAATAACACTGAAATGTCTTGTAATATTAATGTGCACATTGTGGTGTTATCTTTCTATCTATGTTTTAATGCTCCTGCAGAGCTGTATGTCAAACTGGGTCATGAAGAAGTGGAGGTGGCATTAGGAACGGTTTACTTTGGAGCTTAATGTCAGAGTTATGTGTTATGGAATTTTCATAGACACTGTCTCTTGTCCTCTCTGGGGCATATAGCAACAGGCTGTTGTGTTTTGGAAGTGCGAGAGCTTGGTGAAGGTCAAAGGCTCCACTCCCTAGACATCACAGATATGAGACTGTGTAAGCAGCAATACTGTCTCCATAAATAGAAAATACATTTGATTGTTTAGGAACTAGCAGACCCATAGATTCAATGATCTGTTAGGGTTTAAAGTGTGACTGCAGGAGAGCAGACTTCAGAGTATGAGAGAGCATCATGCACAGATGTTGTGTGGATGAATTCWGATTTTCTCCTTGGCCAAGCTTCAATAAATATTTTAGCATAAGACATTAAAGGGCTCCTGAACGCTTTCTTCACTGATGAGTTGACCATTGATCAGCAGATTTTCCACAACATTATGGCCCTGATATTAATATGAAAATACTAAAACAAAGATTATCCCAGAATTCTTAATACATATTTTTTTTAAATGGTACCTTGTGAGCCATATAGTGTCCTCTATACAGATAAAGCTATGAATACATTAAAAGTTACCTCTGTTTGTTCTCAAAGTTGGCTCATTGGGTTTTAATCTTTGCTGCAGTGTTTTGTGCAACAGTGCACAGATTTCCAATAACATGTGGTGCTTTCAGGAATGTGCAAGTACACTAGTTCTATACTGAAAAATAAATGAATCACAGTTAAATTAAAGTCTGGTTTGTCTCATAACACTCTTTATCTGTATCAGGGGTCATTGATCATCTGAGAGTATTTGCTGTTTCCAAGTAAAAAATGTACAATAATAGTGGTGGGGAAAGTATTCAGATTCTCGAGTAAAGCAAAAATAGAGCAGGGAAGTAAAAATCCTTCATTGAAATATATTTTTATTTGAGTAAAAGTATTGGAATTGAAATATACCTACAGTAGCCTATATAATGAGTATGACTACATCACTACACAGCAATGGTTAATTTAAAAACAGATTTTATATTATGGGCTTTGGCATATACATTTATTTATTTATTTACTTTATTGCTGCGTTCCATTTACCTCACCAGTCAGAGCTGGGAATGATGTTACAACCGTGTTGACCAGGTTCATGGTCAGGTAAGGGGGGTTCACTATAGCCAGGTTATCGATTGTTAGCAATAGCAGTTGATAACAACAATATATGGAAAATTGGGCAGTAAGAAACATGGTGGCAACATGTCAACAGATAGCAGTTAGACAGTATTGTATTGATTTAATGAGACATGGTGAACCATTTTTGTCAAAACTTAGCTCAAAATATTAAAAACACAGAATCTTTACTGTCGACAAGAGTTGAAATTAATATTAATTTTGGTTAAAATGTGATTTAATGTCATAAATGAAAATGTAACTGTGAATGTGTGTAGGGTCTGTTATGTTTAACAGAGGCTTGAGGCACCAGGAACGCTCTTCTGAGTTTACAGTATTCAAATCAAACCCAACAACATACTGTATATATATCACAATTGACATTAAAGCAACTGGAGTTTTAAAGGTCATGTGTGAGTATGAACCAAAACTAAATGCGTTCTGAAAATGGTAAGAGAGACAGATACACCAATACTCCACATGGCACATTATTCCTAAAGGGCAGCCGCTCCACAACATTCATCTCAATGTGAGCTCCACTATCAAACCAGCTGTGTGACTCAGAGTCAGTGTGCACAGACACGTCCTTCAGACTCATTTAAGTGTGCATCACTGTGGTCTCACTGGAGTAAAATTGTGATTTTTGAATGAATGTGGAGACTGGCACCTGATTTGGTCACTGATCCTGTGGTAAATGACAGGATGACAGCACTTACTGAGGTACAGTGAGAAGATGTCTGCCATTCTGCAGAATCAAACCTTGCCAATGTCTGCAGTAAACAACAATCAGGATACGTATCCACAGGTTACATGAAGGAACCTGGAGCCTGATGTCTTCAGGTTGTGTTGAAGTGTTGAAGTGAAGTGTGGTGGGTGCACAAGTACGAGAGCTGATGTCGGGTTGAGTTTATGGGTTTGTTCCGAACGATGTCAGCAGCACTGAAATTTAAGATGTTTCACTGCAAACATTTTGACAGAGGAGCTGACAGAGGTGGGATTATTCCTGAATGCAGTCACCGCTGTGATGTTCTAATTTGATGGAAAGATAAAGGAAGGTGGCATCCGACAGGGAGAACAAATTCACTGTGCTATCTTTCTACTGGTTTCTATTCATCTTTATTATGAAAAATAC